AGTTCACCTTTCGAACGCTCATCAGACGAACCATGAAGGTAAAGGTCTCTTAGCGCTCTCAGTGTAGGAGGTACATGATAATTTACATAAGAATATATCGGCTAGGTGCTTCACACGCACACACACGCACACATACTCACCCAGAAACATATATTAGTAAGGTCATCGTTTAAACATATTAAAGTTTGCGTAAATGTTTCACTTGCAAAACCTAATTAAACATAAAGAACAAAAGTATCTGTAAACAAATAAAAAGACAGAATGAGGGCTCTTACATCGAGTGACCAAACTAAAACTGAAAATTTGAATGACAAGTGAAAAAAAAGAATGGTGACCACAAAAGAATGTATATTCAGTCGACGCATTCTCCTCCTTAAATCATCAGGCAGCAGTAGTCCTGTGTGTGGTGGCGGCGGCGTGGGCGGCTCCCCAGGGCGGCTACAACTACCAGGCGCCCGTGGTTCAGCAGCCCGAGTACCCGTCGGTGCCCGCCCAGTACAACTTCCAGTGGGACGTCAACGACCAGAACTCCGGCAACTTCTACGGCCAACAGGAACAGCGCGACGGCGACAACACTCAGGGCAGGTGAGGCGGGGAGATAATACAAAAAAAAAAAAATTAAAAACAAATGGGAAGGCACAAAGTACTCTTTGATAAGAGGGCGATTTTCATCGATCAAATTAAATTTTGTTGTATATCATAGCTGTAATGCTAGCAATGGGGTATATGTAATAGTTAGACATGCATGGAATCTAATGTGAAAGGCTTTTGTAAGCGTGTTTCAAAACCTGAAGCAGCTTACACTAACTTTCAGTTTTGTGATGTTCATTAGTTACATCCTGAAACTGCTAATTCTCATCGTGCATATGTGGGTTGGAATAGATTACATCATTACTAATAAGGAGACGCAGCAATAGACAAAACCTTTGGATCAGTACTTCTTCATTTACATACCTGTATATACTTCTAGAACAGGTAGCATACGTCGTTCATCAGAAAATGTAACTTCCCTTAAATTGTTAGTAGAGATAAAATATATAGCTTCCTTAAGATATTTGCAGGAATAAAGTAACTCCCTGAAATTAATTACAGAAGTTTGCTGACGTGAAGCATAACTTTCTCAAACCAAAGAAGCATAGAATTCTTAGATCTTACGTTTTTGTCCTATCGGAATGTTTCTGTTTATGCAAATTTGCTTTTCGCATCCCCAGCTACTACGTCCAGCTGCCTGACTCTCGCCGCATGAGGGTCGACTACTACTCCGACGCCAGCGGCTTCCACCCCACAGTCACCTTCGAGGGCGAGGCACAGTACCCAAGTGCCCCTGCCCAGGTGTACTCTCAACCCGCCCGTGCCCCTGCTCAGGTGTACTCCCAGCCCGCCCCTGCCCCTGCTCCTACCCAGGTGTACGTTCAGCCCGCCCCAGCCCCCGCCCCTGCCCCTACCCAACAGTATGCCCAACCCGTCATCACTCCCTCTCAGTTCTACTCCCAGCCCGGGAAATGAGCCTTTCCTGTGAACCTTTAGCACTGGGAATTGCCCTTTTCTTGCCCATCGTTCCAATGCGAATGCTTCTCCATGATTCGTAATCTGGAAACACGCTTATATTTGTTTTACGTTATGTGATTTAGTGTTGTCTTGAAGTAGATATATTTTTATAGAAGATTGAATATATTTTAATAAAATGATACAATATTTACTGTGTTCACTAAACAATGCCCCTAGCTGTATGTACAAGAATTCGCACATACGGAATGAGAGAGAGAGGTGGATAGATAGAGAGAGAAAGAAAGAGTCGAGAGAGCCCAAAGCCGTGGTACAAGGACATTTCAACATAAATCTATCAAAATAGGCTTCCAAAGAGATCAAACTAAGTATGTTACAGAACATCCTTGCTGTGCAGTAGTTGCAGTTGTTATGGAAAGAAAAAGTGTGATAACTTTAGCCTTGGAATCCAGAACCTCCTTTTCAACACTTGATGAACCAACTCGAGTACCGTATTAGGTACAATACTTATTCATCCACTCCACAAATCATAGAGAAGCTTGTCATAAGGTGCACTACGACAGGCTAAAGTACGAGATTTCCGCCTCTCCCTTTCAGATCATTACTGATACTCGTAGGACCTCGATTTCCGCTCAGTACTTTTACCCCACATATATGTCTTCTAAGAATGTTAGCAGGAAAGGTATCCAATGTGACGGAAATCATAGCATTCTTACTTGAAGTCAACCGCATAGATTCCACCGGTACCAGAATGCAGAGGAAAGATATCAACATGAGTATTTTTATAACTTTTCATACCACTAAATCACCCTTACTGACAGTACAGCCGCTTCATCAAGTTGTACCCCTTGTATTTCGATATTTTAAGTACTTGTCTGTGTCTCGCGAGTATTTTTTTTATGACGACCGGGATGCAAACCTGCCACGTCGCTGTAGAACTTGTGCAGTTAAAAAAATAATTTACTGCGTCGGTGTCATATCGTGACAAGAACTA